TTCCATAGGTATGTCATTTTATAAAAGACAAAGTATTATAATCATGGAGAAGCTCAATGAAAATGAGGACACTCAGTTATTAGCTAGGTCCCAATGCTGTCACCAAATGAACATCTATGTTGTTCCAAATTAATGACATGTCTCAACTTTTCACTGTAGGAATCCTTGAAGTCACCAAATGATGCCATCTGTGTTCTAGGCAATCACAGCATAACACATCCCCCCTCAGAGCCTGCACACCCCACAGCCTGGCCTGGGAGCTCCAGGGCCAGTGACCCTGTACAGAAATTTCACTTCCCCCCCAACCTGGCCCAGAGCCTCTGGCTGACTTCCTTACCATCTGGCTTCAGAGGGCTGGAGGGCAGGTCAGCCCAGCCAGGATCTATTGAGCACAAAGAGAAGTGTGTTTTATAAATCATGCAGCACCATATACATAGTCTACAAGTATAAGGTCACGCTGGGGCCATTACTAAGGTCCCTACCCTTTCCCCATCCCCTTTACTAGTTTTTGCTTTGGGACCAGGGCAAAACTCCTCCACTGACTGTGTGACCTTAGCCAGGTTGTTCAACCTCTTTATGTTTCAGTTTCTTGCTTTGTAAATAGGAGATTAAAATAGTCTTGCCTTGTAGAGTTATGAACAGTTCCTCAATGCCAGGTGCCTCTTATCCCAATACCAGACACCAAGTGGTAAATCCACAGTCCATCTTCACACTTCTGCCTTTTGCCCTTGCTGCTCCCTCTTCACCACATTTGCCTCTCTCTGGGTCTGGAGAAGTCCTCCTATCTTTCAAGGTCCACTCAGGATGCCATCTCTTTTAGGAAACATTCCCTACCCTCCCCCCCCCCCCGCCCGATAAGTAATCCAAGCCCCTTCACGGTTCCTCCTCTTGGACAGCCCTGGTCATCCCAGAGCATCATTCACTTCAGAAGGTCTCTTGCTCCAGCTCAGATGTTTTTAAGGGCAAGAATTATGTCATCTACCTCTGGACCCCCAAATTATGGTTCTGTGCTTGGTATGAAGTACTCAATAAAAGCTGGCTGATTTAAGTAATGAATTAGCTGTGCTCATCAATGAGTGAAAAACAATAAAACAGAAACCTCCAACAGCCATGTAAGGCATACTGGGATTATGGTTCCCCTGGAGCAAAGGGAATGAATGTTTAGAAAGCTCTACTGCTATGATTCTCTATCCTACTGATTTAATTGGTCTGGCATGGGACCAAGGAATAAGTTGGATTTGTTGTTGTTTTTTAACTTCCAAGATGATGCTAATGTACAGCCAGGTTTGAGAACTACTGCTTTACCAGCCTGCTTGCATTCCGTCCTTGGAATTCAAAGAAGGAGTAATTCCTCACCTACCCACAGCTCACAGGACCAGCATGCACCTGAGGGAGGATGCTGACTGCCGAAGCTGGTCCCTAGACCCTAATTTGAGCCCCATGGGAAGGGCAAATGAGAGTAAGAAAAGAAAGCTGGGTAGACATGAGTGAGGAGGATAGATGAAGGAGTGTAAGACAAGGAGCAGGTCCCAAATCAAACCAAACCCATCATCCAAAGTCAACCCTCACTTTCTCCTGAGAAGCCTTAGCCCTGCCTGTCTCTCTCCAAGCCTGCATCTCCACTGGGGGGGCGCCCTGAGCAGTTTGTTTCCATCCCCCAAGCCAGGCACCTGGGACCAGGTCATCATATGACTGGTTACCACCAACGTAACGTGAAAAGTCTGAATCACAGAACATTTTTATAAAGAAAAACATTCTACCTTCAGATGGAAAAGGTTTGCCCACACAAGTTCAGAAACTGGGCCCAGGGAGCCTGCTTTGAGGAAGAGCAGAGCCCTCTGCAATTAGTGCACTGGTGATGTGTAAACAGCAACCTCCTAGCCATTGGAAATAATTTCCTTTGCAATCCTATGATAACAGTATATGGCCTATGTTAGTTCCCTTGCACTGCTCTACCTAAACTTGTTCACATTCATTAATATTGAAAACCCTGGTTTTACTGGCTTCAAAGATCATGCTCCACTCTAAATCAGAGAGGTCTGAGCTCCGAGCTTGAACTGTATGCATTTGCATCCTAAAGCTGTCCCAGATCTTCCTGTGCAGGTTTCCTTTTAAGGATCGTCTCTCAGATGACAGCCTCCTTCTTCCCGGAAAATTCTACCACTGTCCCCCTTCACAGATGGAAAGTGGAGGCACAGAAAGCAGACAAAAATTGCTGAAGTGGTGTAGGATTTGAACCCAGGAATTGGCCTGCATGTCTGCATTCATAATCATTAAAGTTTTGTTACCAGGAGGTAGAACCAAGGCCTGGTAATGGGGAGCTGTTGTTTAATGGGAGCAAAGTTTCAGTATGGGATGAGAAAAATGTTCTGAAGATAGATGGTGGTAATGGTTGCCAAAAAAAACCTGTGAATGTACTTAATGTCTTCAAATTAACATTTAATAATAGTTAGAATGGTCATTTTATATATTTTACTATGATTTTAAATATTCAAATTCCAACTCAGCAATCTACTTATAAACTGAGGACAATAATGCTGACTTCTCAGGTTCTTATGGGCATGAAATGAGATGACACAAGTAAAGCCTTTAGCACAGCACCCATGACTCGGTAAGAACCTAACAAAAGGCAGTGTTATCTCTGGCCTTGTTCTTGATGTTGTTTATGCTGCTTGAGAAATGCCCCATTTTACAGGGGAGGAAACAAAGACCCAGTGGTGTGAGAGGCAAGGTATCCTCCCTAGGGTCCTGTGGGCAGCTGATGAAGGACAGTCAGGTTACACTCAGGCCCCCTGCCTCCAGCAGCTAAGTTCTCAGCTACTCCTGTCTTTCCCCCTTGCAGACCCGTAAATCATCAGGAACAGTCTACACAAAAACACACACACGTATGCATGCATACATGCCCACAAGCCATTAAAGAACATGGTAACCATGGAACCTTGCCGTTTTCTTTGCTCCCCGGTTGACTTGTGAAGCTTTTCCACATGTCCCTTAAGTACCAAGCTAGGACATGAGCTCATGTGGCTGCCTCTTTAAATCCTGCCATCGAAACCATCTAGAGGAAGGGGAGGTGGGCTCCAGACAGGTAGGCTTTTCTTTGTCTAATTCTTTTCTAAGTCTTTGAGGTAGTGAACAGGAATAGGAAGGGTATTTCCTTTTACCACTTCCCTAAAATATCCTCAGCAGCAGCTGCCAGGGAGCCCACAACAGCAGGAAGCACAGAAAGAATGAAAGTCTCCTGTGACTCAGTCCCCATCCCTCCTTTTAAACCAACAGTCAGTCTCTCTGCCTCCTTTCTCTTTCCTGGTGCAGGACCATATGCTAGACAAGTCCTTCTGTAACAAAAGCCCCTTGTGTAAAATTTGAACAAAAGAAATAAAACTACATAGGATTAGACCCCAAAGGATAAAAGAAATGTCTATAAATCCAGACTAAGGTAAATACAGATGTTTCTCAATTTATGATGGGATTGTGTCCCAAAAAACCTACTGTAAACTGAAAATATTGTGTCAAAATGCATTTCATATGCCTGCGTTAGTTAGCTTTCATTACTACCACAAATACTTGAGATGAGCCAACTATAAAGAGGAAAGGCCTATTTTGGCTCACACTTTTGGAGGTTCCACTCCATGACTGGTTGACACTGTGGCTTTGGACCTGCAGTGAGGCAGCACACCATGGTGGGAGCACATGGCAGAGCAAAACCTCTCACATGGCAGAGCAAAACCTTTCACCTCATTTCGTCAGGGAGTGAAAGACAGAAAAAAGAAGCAGCTAGATCCCATTGTTGGGGCACATTTCCAGTGACCTAAAGACCTCCCACTACACCCTACATCTTAAAGATTCCACCACCTCTCAGTAGCAACACCCTAGAAAGCAAGCCTTTAACACATGGGACACTGAAGATCCCCACTGGCAGTGATAAGTCATGTCAGAGTATAAACCTTTGATACGGTGAGAAAAAAATGGTAATTTATCTCTGTAGTCTCCCTCCTAGAAACTTAGAAATGCAGAATAACCATGAAAAAAAAAATCAGACAAATCTCAGTTGAGGGATTTTCTACATATACCTGACCAGCATCCTTCAAAACTATTAAGACCATCAAAAAAATGAAAGTCTAGCCCTAATGGTGGGAATGTTTGTGTCCTCTGCCTCCCCCCACTTCTACCAATTCACATGTTGAAATCTTAATTTCCAATATTATGGCATTAGGAGGTGGGGACTTTAGGAAGAAATTAGCTCATGAATGTAGGGCCCTCACAAAGTTGATTATGAGTAGAGAACTAAGAGCTTGCTCTGGCTCTGTGCCCTCTACCACATGCACATCCAATGAGACAATAGACATCTGCAAACAAGGATGTAAGACCTCATCAGACACTGGATCTGTTAGCATGTTCCTCCTGGTCTTTCCAGATCCAGATCTCCAGAACGGTGAGAAACAAATGTTCTCTAAATTATTCAGTCTATGGTATATTCATTATAGCAGACTAAGCTAAAACAGAAACTTTCACAGCCAAGAGGACCTGAATTAGAATACTAAATATTCTGTTCAATCCAGGATAGGGTCCTGAAAAAGAAAAAGGACATTAGAAAAACACTAAGATTGAATAATGGATGAACTTCAGTTAACAATAATATATCTAAACTGATTGTTTTGTGATGAAGGCACCATACTAATGTTAGATGTTAATAACAGGGAAAGTGAGTGTGGGTTATATGCACAGTCTATACTACCTCACACTTTTTCTGCACATCTGAAAGTATTCTAAAATTAAATTTATTTTTAAAACAAAACTAAAAAACAAGCAAACTCCTTGGTTGGTTCAACGTAGGCCTGCTTACATTGTAGGACCTCAGGATCATGAATAATGCTGAATGGCCCCCTTCACCGGTCTTTGAATTCTTGGGTTACCCAGAGGCCCCCCTGGGACTGAGCGCATAGACAGAGCTTGCCTCCCCTTTCCTATTAACTCCTTTTTCATCTGCTTTTCACCCTCAGGTCCCATGTGGCATTTTCACTGAAATAAAGGGTTTCTCTGCTCAAAGAGTTTAACAACTACTGATCTGGTCCAACTCCGTCATGAAAGCTACAGAGAGAGGCATCCTCAGGGGACTCACCAAGCAAGGGACAGAGCTGGGGTTGGATACTTGAGGACATCCTCCAGGAGTTGCACTCACTCACAACTGTGACCTGGGAGCTCATTGAGTCATAGACCAGCCTTGTAGAGATGAGTGCCCAAACTACAACCCCAAACCCACTTATTTATCCCAAAGTGCCAACACTGCAATTAAACCTGAATACTGAGGTTTTAGTTTAGAAAAAAACAACTCATACATTAACATCTTTTGTCTTTAAAAAAAAAAAAGCATGATAACATGGATGCCGTAGGTTTGCCACCACTGTCATAGACTATACCCTATTCATCTGAGTCCAGAAAACCAGGAAGAACACCTGAGACAGGCAGGAGATGGACAGACCATACTTCCTATCATGTGCCTGTTCTGAAATCCCAGGGTTGTTCAAATCTAGAAAACTTGGTTGACATTTCAAATAATGCAAAGTGTAGGCCTCCCTGGTCTGTGTCCATATAGTTGGCTTTATTAAAACCCACTCCCCTGTCTCTTGCAATGAGTGTATGTTCTACACAAACTGTGTGTGTCCCCCTTGCTTTGGAGGGACATTCATTCATTCATTTAAAAAGTTCCAGTGAGAAAAAAAGTTTTCGTGAGCACTTTCTATACATTATTAACAATAACAACAATCATAATCCATTCAATAAGCATTCATGTGTCAAGCTCACTTCCAGGTATGAGAGACAGAGCCAGGAATAAGACAGGTACCTTCTGACTCTAGATTTTTCATTCCAGCACCCTACCAGGGACCCTAACATGTGTGGATGCTTCCTGCATGCCAGGCATTGTGCTCAGGATCTCTCACTTAGGCTCCACAACAGCCCTGTGAATAAGTGCTACTGGTTTCCCCATCTTCCAGATGAGGAAATGGAGGTACAGTTATTGATCTAAAGTCATTCAGTCAATAAGCTATCAGGCATGGATTTGAACCCAGGCACTCTGAAACAAGAATATGCATTTGTTGCTATCACCTCTGAGAATCAGTGTGGGTCCCTAGGACCCCACTGATGAGGTGCACCCAGTGCACTAGAATCAGATAGAAAATGAAGCAGTGCATTATTACTAACAACTGGTCCTGTGCCCAAGGTCCTTCCTCATCTTCGCCTGAAGGATTCCCTGGGAGGAGCTGAGAATGGAAATAAAGCTTTGCCAGGAAGTCAGAGCCAGGTGAGACACTCAGAGGAGGCCCTGTGTAACTCATCCCCTCGGGCTCAGGTGCCCGAGCTGTGTCCATCAGAGAGGAGGGTGGCAGGGCAGGTGCCTCACTGGATTGGCAGGCAGAGGAGAGCCAGAGACTCAGTCCTGCCTTTATGACACAGGACCCCCACCCACCTTTTCAGAGTCCCCTTACTCTGTCTGGTCACACTGTCAACATCTGCTCTCATGGAGGGACCAATCAGGAAGGGATTGGAGAGGGGCTTGGCAGGTGAAGGGAGCCGAATGTTCTTTCTTATCTGAGCAGAGAGGCAAGACAGGGGTAGGGTGGAACATTCACTCATGACTCTGCTGGTCCCAGTGGTACAAGGAGTGTGAGGCAGTATTCTTCTTCTAAAGGAATTTGCACGAGGGTGAATAAAGCTGCAGGCTTGCATGAGCTAGTGGCAGTAGGAGGGGCTTCTGAGGGGAGGGTAAAGGCCTGGGTTCCTTCCTCTGAGCCGGGCTTTGAAGGGTGTGCAGAAATCTTCCACCAGAGCAGAGGGAAAGGGGTATCCCGCCGGAGGCGCCAAGCCCCTGACCCCAGAGTCCCAGTGAGATGAGAAGGTTCTAAAGGGCTGGGTGTGCCCCCGCACCAAAAGTCCAGGTGGGGGTAAAGAAATGAGGCTAGAAAGACAGCTGGAGGTCAGACTCCAGTGGGCTGGTGTGTGGTGGTACGGAGAACTTGGCCATTTTTTTGGTGAGCAATGAGCTAGAGATAAGTTTTGAATTATTTGGTTTTATCAGGGGAAGTAGGGTTGCAGGTTGGGGCTTCTGCAGTTAAATTTGTTTTTTTAGACCTTTATTTTGACAATCAGTCTGCAGAATTCATTGTCATTCATATAAATATCAAGCACCTATCATGTCCCCAATAGTCAGTCCATAAGAAGCTGGAGGCCTAATTGCAAACTGAATAGAGATGATCTTGGCTGTCATTGAGCTTACCAATTGGCAGAAAAATAGGCATTAAATAAGTATGTAATTCCACCTGTGACATGTCCATAGAGGAAGAGCCCAGGGGTCATGAGTATTGTCTATCCATATTAAACAAAATCTCCTAGAGAGGTCAGGGAAGGCAGCCCTGAACTAGAGGCACTAAAGGTAAGGTGTGAAAAGTGAGGGACCCCAGGTGGAGCAGAGGAAGTGTTCCATGGGAAGGAGCAGCATGTGTCAAGACTGGAGGCGGAAAAGAGCTTGGCACAGAGAAACAACACAAAGGCAGCCCATATACCTGGAAGAGGGGTAGGAGAGGAGATTAGTAAAGGAGAGAGCAGCAAGATGGGGCAGCCCTTGAAAGGCACAGTCAAGGTTGAAGACTTTTCTATTAATGTCAGGGTCAAACTATTATAGGATTTTAAGTGAAATCTCTTACCATTTTTGAAAGACTTTTTGTCCCTATAGCATGGACAACATTGGAAGAATCCTTTTGAAAGTAGAAGGGTCATTAGAGGTAAAATTGGCAGGATTCAGGGATTGTCCTTTTTGGAGTAAAGAGGAGTCAGTGAAATGTGACCCTGAGGATGTGCACCTCTAGGGAGGGGCAGATGGGAGCAAGTAGGAGAAGGAGCTGATGTTGTCAGGGAACAGGAATATTTGCAGGAAAAGAATTCCTGCAATCTCCACCCTTAAAGATTAAGAGAACAAAAGTAAATTCCAAAAGAAGTGGGAGTTGGCTCAGACTGAGCAAGATTCCAAGATAGGCAATGGGTGGAAGCACTCTGGAACCTAGAAAACCCACTGTTTGTACCTCCAAGGGAGGCTGTCAGGAAAGGGTGGGGAGCCCTCAGAGCCCCTGTCCTGAGCACATGGCATGGGGGCTGCCCACAAACTTTCTTCCAGCTGGCTAGGTGAAGCAGAATCAGAACTACAAAAGTTCCCCATGGCTGACATTTTGGGGAGCTCACAGAATGGTGAGTTTCTCAAATCCAATCCTAGCACCAATGAGGAGCTGAAACATATTGTACCCATTAGAAAAGAAATGCAAATCAGAAAGTCAGGCATTTGTGTCCATGACAACAGGAGGAACGTATTTTGGCAAATCCGAGTTCATTTATATTCAAATAAATATTTCAGTCTATGACTCTGGCACTTTTTTGCATGAGATATTTCAGAACCATATTGAATGTTGCTCTCATGCTAAGAACTTGAGAATTAAAATAAGGGCCAATTTCAAAGTCTATCAGGCTCCAAGATTTTGGGGTTGGTTTTACCTTCGGGAATGAAAAAGAATGATACACTAGCGAGTGATTCAGCATATTTGTATAGACTTTTTGAACTGGAAAGGCCAGTTCAGTTTTATGCAGCTCCTTCTTTGTACAAATGAGGGGAAAAGCCCAAGTGTGGCCAAAAGTTACATTCCAAATTAATCTAGAGCTCCGGTCTCCTGATTCTCAGGTCAATGTTGTCTTCAGTATATCAAGTCAGATGTTGAGACAGGAAGAATGGCAAGTAGAAGAGAAATTTCATCATTTGTTTCTCTTTTAAAGAGGATGCTATCCTCTAATTATAAAAGCAATTTATGCTCTCTGTGGAAAATCTATACATCACCCAACACTCCAAAGATATTACTTCCAGTGATCCCGGCAATTCCCCTTACAATCACCAGGAACATTTTCACACATTTCTTTCCAGTTTTTTCTGGGCATATATCTCGTACATAATTGAAGTCTTGATATACACAGTTTTGCATCATAAGCATTTCCCCAAGTCATTAAAAACTTTTCCTATACAAATGGGAATAAGTAATATGAATAAATAATATACCACCCTATAAATATACTATATATTTCCTAAATCATTTATTCCTTTCACCACTGATATTTAGGTAGTATCCATTTTTTTAACCATTTCAGTAACATTGCACTGGATATCTTTATTTTATATTTTTATTTTACATCAGATTCTTTCCTTGACAGATTCCTAGACATGGAATTATTGGGCTAAAGACTATAAAAGTCTCCTGGCCAACACGTTGCACACTACTCCAGCATTCAGGGAACATGCAGCCAGCCCAGCAAAGAACAAGGCAAAAGAAGCCCACATAAATAATAATATGCTACTAGGATTTAGAGGAGTAAGGAGAAGTGGGGAGATTTTTTTGAATTAGGTGCTGATTCTGTTCTCCGGCAGAACCTATCTCTTGCATTGTTTTTGTGGCTCCCCATCCCAGGCTCTTAGAGATTCTTTCTTGCCCAATCTGCTCCGTGGCCACATCTGAAGTGGGTGTTGAAGAGTTAAGGCTGTTAAGGCGGCACAACATTTGAAGTTCCCCTCTTCCTGTGCAACTTCAAAGGCTCAAGAGTTGTCTTAAGGCTAACCAGCCAAATCTCTCTTGAACTCATCTTCTTCTTGAAATATATTGCCAAAAGCAGAAAGCAAAATCCAACTCATATTACTGCTTTGGCCCTTTTCTGTGTTCCCAGAGCAGTGGGCTCAGTAGGCATGTTGTCTACCTTCCAAGTTATCACAGGTGATACTTTCACCAAATACTTTACTTTTGTATATCTTGGGTTTTCATATTTCCAGGCTCCATCCTGTGGTGTGAATATGGTTTGTCCCTGCCCAAATTCATGTTGAAATTTAATTCCCTTTATGAGATATTAAGAGATGGGACTAGTCAGGGCCTTTAAGAGGTGATTAGGGCTCTGCTTTCATCTGTAGATTTCTCCATGTATGCAATTAATGGGTTAAGGGATTCATAGGTTAATGAATTGTCTCAAGAATGGGTCTGCTATAAAAGCCAGTTTGGTGTCTGGTGTACTCCCTGTCTCTCACTATGTGATGTCTCAGGAACTTCAGCAAAAAGGTCAACACCAGAGGCACCTGCTTGACCTTGGACAAGCTATGAGCCCAAAGAAACCTTATAATTTACCTAGCCTGTGGTGTTGTTATTAGCAACAGAAAGCAGACTAGGTCATTCTAAAACTAGTTTCCTTGCTGTATACCACCTGATCACTAAGCCATATCATATATTTTAGGTTTTTGTAATATTAACACCGCACTTCTGGTAACAAGTTCTGTGCTAAAGTAATGTGAGCTGCTGGAGTACACAACTTTCAAAATCTTAGTGCATAACAATATAAAGATTTATATTTCCTAAAAGTCTTAAAACAAGGGGTCCTTTATCTGACCAGTGTGTCATTTTCCCCCACTAGTGATATTATTTCCCAGATTCTTTCTATTTACTGATTCTGTTGTTTTCAATCTTAGCTTCTAGGGTCACCATGCTCATCTGTATCAAGCTGGAAGAGGGAAACAGAATGGAGAGTTGAATGTTGGATGTTTTTATGGCCAAGTGTGAGGTGGCTCACATCAATGTTCCATTGACTAGATCTTGGTCACATAGCCACACTTCATTGCAAAGAAGGAGGAGACAGTGGTCTGTCTACCAGCCAAGCATGAAGACAAATGGGTTCTGATGAACTCATGACAGTATCTTCCCAACCTTTCATGTTCCAGCCCTGCCCTTGCATGTCTCATATCACTCACCTCACCCTAATTCAACAAATTCTGTCATTAATTTAAATGTTGATATCTTATTCCTTATAGTTTTATTCATTCATTTACTGTTTTTAAATTGCTGCATTAAAATATCAGTTCTCTTAATTACTGAGTCTTTTAACACTTCTTTAAGTTTTCCCCACTCATCTTACCCAAGTTGCAGTTCTAGAATCAGGAAGAGGAAACTCACTTAGACTAATTTTTCCTCAACCTGAAGAAATACTTTCCACTTTCTCCTTTTTTAAAGAATATCTCATTCATGAGAGTTTTCCATCATTCATTATTACCTATGTTATGTGGGAATTGAACTAGAAGTAGTGCCAAATCCTAGCATATCCTCTGAGGAGCTGTGTGGTCTGCCACAAATCATTTGATACCTCTCTGTGTGTGTTTATTGCTCATCTATTAAATAAGGACCACAAATCCTGGGTTCATGGGGTTTCTGGAATAAAAGAGACAGCACATGAGAGAGACCTCAGGCCCAGGCTCATAGAAGGCATATAAAAAACACTGGCCAGAATCTGGGCCCAAATGTTTACTAGAAAACCCAGCCCAGGCTAGGTTTTGTATGAAAAATAAAGCATCTGGCCTTGAGGACTTTACACCTTAACAAGAACTTAATAGAAAAATGTATGTGAAAGATCTTGAGAAAGATTCAAACCCTCTACACACCTACAGTCTCAAAGAAGCTGATTGTGGCTTCAGTGACCTCTTTGATAAATAGGCTGCTCAGTGGAGCAGGAAAGGTTTAGGATGACCTATGGTGGAGAGGGACAGGTGATGACTTTGCTTCATTTTAAGTACAATAATTCTCCTAGCAGCTCCCATCATCCTCAAACTCTACTATGCCTAATACAAAATACCTGCCGGAAGCTCTTTTCTGAAAGAGTCCACAATCCTTGCCATGGAACATTTTTAGCATATTTAAACCAGAATATTGAGCACAGATTTAAAATGGTCCTGTGACATCATGTGTGGAATATATAGAAACCTTCCATGAGCAGAGTATTTGATTGAGCCTCATTGTCAGCTGCACATCTGTCTGAAGCAGCTGCAGGGCCAGGCACTATTCTGGGCACTGTGAGCAGAAACAGAGTAAAGGGTGTTGTATCTGGCCCTGAGAGGTTCACAGTCAAGGTGGGAAGGCAGCATAGACTCATGGAACAAGAACATGCCTTCACTAGTCAGAACTCTTGGGTTACAAGTGACAGATATGCTACTCAAGCTAACATAGAGAGAACTGATTATGAGAATGTTGGGGCATCTCTCAAAATGTGAGAAATAACCAAAGCCAAGGACCTGAATGTTGTCAGACCTCTCTCTAATCTCTTCCTCTCATGTAACAAACACATTCTTTCATTTCCATGTGGCCAGGGTTTCTCCCTCCACAGTGGGAAATACAACTGTCAGGAGCCTTAGAGCTTAAGACATGAGAGCCACAGCCATCCGCAGAGAGAGACAAATCTGACACTCCTGGATCTAAGTCTAAAATTGCTAAGTGTGGCAGTGAAGGTGAAGTTTCAACTTGATTGACTTTGAGATCCACCCCAGAGATTGCTGAAACACCTGCCTAGGTATATGGGGGTGGATCATGGAGGTGTGAACATTAAGGTCTATGTCTACTTCCCACCCACCAAGAACTAAACAGCTTTGCTCCACCATGCCCTTCCACTATGATGTCTCTGCCTTGGAACCTATCATGGACTGAAACCATAAGCAAAGTAAACCTCTTTGAAGCTATGGGAGTTGGGTATTGTTTCTCAGCTATGAGAAAGCTAATCAATACACTAAGGAAGCCATCAGTGGCTTATTTCCAGACAGGTCCTACCTCTGGCATAAGGAGATAGAAGCATAGTGCACCAGCATGGCAACTCCTGTGGTGATCATATGGATGGAGAGGTACATTTCCTGGAAAAGGGGTGTTGGAGAGATCCACTGAGAACCATGCAGGACCCTGCACAATCAGAACCAAGAGAGGGACATTAACTGGAGGTAAGAGGAACAAGCAAAGGACCCAACTCCACAGGACTTTGGTGAAGCATTGTTACAAGGCAGTCTCTCAAGGGGCCCAATGTGACAGATAACCAATTGTACTTGTATTTTCTCCCGTTTTGTCTTAGCTATTTTTCATCATTTTGGAGACAAAATACCAACACCCACAACTTAAAGGTAGAAAGTTCTATTTTGGCTCATGGTTTTAGTCCATGGTTGGCTGGCTCCAAGGCAGGAACAATATGCCAGAGGGGCATGGTGGAGGAAAAGGTGCTCAACCCATGGCAGTTAGGAAGCAGAGAGAGAAAGGAAGAGCCAGGGACAAGAATACACCTTTCCAGGTCATGCACTCTGTAACACAACTGCAAACAGGTCCCACCTTCCAACAGCACACTTAGCTGCTGAACTCATCAATGGATGAATCCACCAGAGAGTATAGCACTCCCATGATCCAATCACTCTCCAAACACATAAGACTTTGGAGGGACATTTTAGATCCAAACTCTAACATATTCTATATGGGGGATGAGCATGCTAGTGGTGAAGGAGAGAGGGAATGAACCCTTTAGCAGCCAGCTCAACAGGCTTGTTATGTGTCTGTCATATACAACAATAAGTCCTCATATAACATTATCCCAATTAATCCCCTCAAAAAAAGCCTTTGAAGGGAAAAATGAGAAACCAGTTTTACAGATTAAGGGAAACTGAGGACAGCAGGAATTAAGTAACTTGTCTTGAATCACTCAGTTTTAGGTGCAAGAGCCACACCTTGACCCAGGGGTACATGTGCTGCCATACCCATGGCCTGGCTTGCATCCTTCTATTGCTGCACCCACCTATGAAACCTGATGGAGTCTGGATAAAACAGGTGCCTGTGAAACAACTATTCATATCTTCTGGATACTCTTTGGAGAAAATCTTGGTCTGGGTTCTCTGAGAAGCAGATCCCACACAGGACCAGGTAAACCAAAAATGTATTAGAGGGAGAGCCTATGCTAGAAAATACCAAGATTGCAGGAGAGGTTGGAATAGAGGTCTAACCTTGTAGGCAGAGAAAGAAGGGAGATTTGGGGTCAGTATCCTAGACTGACCTGTGATTCTAAGGGCAATTTGGCAAGCTGTCCAAGAGTTTTCATGCTGTATCCTTCAGAAGAGCCCATGTCTCCTAGGAATAAGTCAGCAGCAGCATCCCTGCTACACTGTCATTGGCTGGGAACAGCCTGGAGGAAGCACTGTCTCTAGGGAAGCACATGAGGGATTTCATAGCTCAGAAAGGGAAGCCGCTGCTCAATTAGTCTCCTAACCATCGGAAACCAAGAGGCGCATTCTGACACCATTACGGAAGGGTTGTGTTGAACTCACATCCATTTTTAACCATTATCTGAAAAATACAAATGTTTTACCCATCACGGGGATCAATAAATGACTTAAAAAGTGAATGATAATTCTCTGATCCTTTTTTCTTCCATTATTGATGAATGAAATTTTATTTTGTCCATTTATCATTACATGATGCACTCTTTTCTTATGTTTACCTTCCTTATTATATCCCTACCCAATAATGCCATTTCTATTTCTCTTGGCATCTGGAACCATCCGATATTTGTTTCCTTTCCATGTTTGTATATGGTTCTACATTTGATTCCCAGAATACTGGAAACACAAATTGTGAAGCTTTAAACATTTCCTTTGCTCTGCACATCCAAAGCCCATGGGAGGTCCTCTACCATGACAATTCTCACATTTCACTATAATTTTTTGCTTACCTTTCATTTAATAAGCTGCAAACTCCATGAGGGCAGGAACTGGGACTAATATATTCTATTTTCAGCTCCCTATAGTATTAGTCACTTTCCCATCGCTGGAACAAAATACCTGACACCCACAATTTAAGGACGAGAGGTTTATTTGGCTCATGTTTTCAGAGAGTTCAGTACATGGTTGGTTGGCTCCAGGGCAGAATTAGCATGGTAGAAGGGCAAGGCAAAGGAAAGTTGCTCAACCCACAGCAGATAAGAAGCAGAAAGCAAAGGAAAGACCCACAGTTAGAGGTATAACCTGCAAGGGCAAACTCCCAGTGGCAAATCTCCTCCAACTGGGCCCCACCTCCTTTTTGAGGAGTGTGGCATGATCAGAGTTGAGATTCAAAAAACTATACCCCAAATTACTAAGCAGGATAGATAGCAGAGCAATAATGGAAGTATAAAAGCTGGAGGTTCATTAGGAGACCATGACATTAAGCAAGTGAGAAGTACAAACAGTTTTACCTTTACATTAAAATAATTTAAAGTTGGTAACTGTTTTAGCCACTTTGTTTTGTTAGGACAAAATACCTGATACCCACAACTTAAAAGAGTTGAGCTTTATTTTGGCTTGTTGTTTCAGTTCATGGTCAGCTGGTTCCAAGGCACAAACAGGATGGCAGAGAGACATGGCAGAGTAAAGCTATTTAACCCATGACAGCCAAGAAGCAGCTAAGAAGCGGGGAGAATAGGAAGGAGCCTGGGACAAGAATATACCTTTCCAGGTCGTACTCCCAGGACTCACCTCCAACCAAGCCCCACCTCCTCACAGCACTTTCGGCTACTGAACTCATCAGTGGATGAATCCAGTGAAGAATATAGCACCTCTATAATCCAGTCACCCTCCAAACACACAAGACTTTGAGGAGGACATTTTAGATGTAGATCATAACAATAATTTAAACATCCTGCCTTGTGTAATAAAGAACTTTCAAGTCAGATTTAAAATTGAGGCTTTTCCACTCTGCTTGCTATGGAAAGCAGGAAGTCTGCTGTCAGAGCTGAAGGATATGGTAGACATCTTTTTCTCACTTATATGCCTCACCATTTGCTAGGCACTTTTGTGACCTCTCCAGGGATAAAATGCAAAGAGGAGAAAGAAGTGAGGGAGGCAGAGAGTTCTTCTGTGGCTGGTCCCTGGGGATGTAGACTTGTTGTTCTCTAACTTAGCAGCTGTTTAAGTCTGACTTCTCCCCTTTCTGTTGTGGGTTCTCTGGAGAAACCACTCTCTCCCAGCTGCAGTTCTTTTAAGTAG